TCAGAAGCAAGATCTCTATCTTCTCTGTCAAGTCGCCTATTACTGCATGGATAATTGTGATACCACCTGCTGATAAGACTTCCCTCATTCCTGCTCATTTATACTTAAACTCTTCACTGGAGTAAAGAGACAATGCAAAAACATTCTCTGAACAAAATTTACTTACCACTAGGTACTACTATGTACACAAATAGGATAATCTAAGCTATTCTCCAATATTATGGAGATAGACACTTGTCAAAGGGACTGGAATGCTGGTAGGGGTACCCTTTTGCCTAGAAGAGGGTACTGATACTGACATTTCCTGAATAGAGTATTGACACTGAAATAATGACAATTTTTTTCCAAGCCAACCCTGCGGTTCTTTTCACTAGCCTTTTCTCATATGTTCCCAACACTTTATAATTGCAAAACATTAATTTACATGTTAGACTTCAATAGGGTTACCATGAACTGCTTCTAGAAGATGCCTAAGTGGATATTAATCTTTTTGATAACTACCATTAAAAAGTGTACCTCTCAGACAGAACTCAGAATCCAGCTCATTTTTTCCTGTTTTACTGCTGAGTGAAATGAGGAACTGAGAAAATAAGAAACACAATCTGTGGGTCTGGAAAGAATAAAACCCAGATTTTTATGATATGCTCCAATCACCTTACCCCTGCCTATAATATAAAAAAAACTGATATTTATATAGCTCTTTATAGTTTCCAAAGTACTTAAGATCATCATTACAAACAACCCTGTTAAGTAGGAAGTTCATGTACTATTATTTCACGTTTATAAAGGAAGAAACTGAGACTTGGGAAGGAATTGTCCTGGGTCACATAACTGTTAAGTAATGCTCTAGAAGAGGGGACTCCTAATTCAGTGTTGTACATTATAAATGCCTTCCAACTTCATCTCTCACTATTCCCCCAAACAAACTCACATTGTCCATAGTGTTCTCATCGTGGCCCTCAGTTGTCACTTTTCTTTTCATACCACCTTATTTTTCCACAGGCTATTAGCCCCAATGTTTCTCCTTCTTGACCATCCAAATCTTTTCCTTGCTTAAGTTCCATGTCCACCATGTAATTTTCTCTATTCCAATCAATATTCCACGAACGTATTAAATACTATGTGGAGAAGCAGCATGGCATAGTGGCCTCAAAGCCAGAAAGGCCTGGGTTCAAGGCCCACTTCTGACATATACTCGTAGCTTGACCATGTGAAAGTCACAACCTCTCATGTTCTAAGCAGCTCTATATCTTAAAGTTGCAACGAAGCTTGGAAATTCTCTTAATGATAAGCAAATATACTTTCCAATTTCCCCATATCTGAATATTTCTTCCAGTCGGCTTAGTTCAAAACTGAGAGACATCTTTGATTCCTTCCTCTTTCCCCTTTTCCTTCTACCCATCTCTCCAAAGTCTGCTGCCAAATGCTACTGATAATGATTCTACATCTCTACATCTTTGTATCTATGCTACGTATTTCTATTCTATTTTGCATTATAGTTATTTTTTCCTGACTTGTCTCCCTGATTAAATTATAAGCTCCATGAAGACAAAGACTGTATCTTATTTATTTTTGTAACCCCCAGTCTAGCACAGTTATCTCAGATATTGTTGATACTTAATAAATATTTGTTGTTGAAAGGTATATCAGATGCATACAATGAAAGGTCTAAAAATGACAGGCTAAGGAATAAGTGCAGATTAGGAAATACATGTGTAATAGGAAAACTACTCAGGCAGCAGTGTAAAAGACACAGTGGAGGTCGAGGGAATAATACTATAACAATAGCACAGTAGCAAGTGTCTCAACTGATGGGAGTGTGAAAATGGAAAGGAAGGGATGGATTAGACAGATGTTTTTAGCAACTTATGTGGAGGAAGACATGAGAGTCAAAGATAACCTTCAATTTTGAGTATGGATAACAAGGACAACAGAGGTGCAAATAACTGAAATGGGAAAGTTAAAATTAGGAAGGTCAGGGTGTGGGAGAAGAGAATAATTTCTATGAGGTCCTAGTATCATTTAGAAAAAACAGCAATTCATTTATATATCGCTTTACAGTTACCAAGTACTTTATGTACATTCTTCCCATTGATCCTTGCCACAATTCCCTGGAGTACAGTATCAAGTATTACTCCCATTTTACAGATGTAGAAACAAAGATTCAGAAAAATTTAGTGACTTACCTAAGGTCACAGAGTCATCAGGTACAGGCAGCTGGTCTCTAACCCAGGTCTCCCGATTCCAATCCCAGTATTTTTTTTCCCTACCTTACCACACGGTCTCCTACGTAAGCCCTATACCCCACAATTTAGCACTTGATATGTAAATACAGTAGACATGAAAGAAAAATTTTTATGCAAATAAGTTTTTAAAAAGCATATTAACTAATTCTGCAACCTTTTCTAAATCTTAATCCTTAGTATGAATACTCAGGCATTTTAAGCAACAAAATACTTCAAGTTTTTAAATTAGTATTTGTTTTATTTTATAATAAAAGTATTTATATAAAGTATCTATATTTTATTTTATATTAGGCCTTCAGGTCAATGCTAGAATCTTTCACTGCTGAATGACAAAGAGCATCACCTTTAACATAATGTTTCAATTCAACAAGTCCGCATTTATTATGCCCTAATATGTTCCCTTTTAATTCTTTAGGAGAAGGGGAAAAAACCTAAGCTAAACAAGTTGACAGAATAGAATAGAAAAAAAACACTAGACTAGAAATTAGAACATATGAATTCAAATTTTGGCCCTGCCGCAACTAACTGCGAGATCTTGGACAAATCACTTAGCCTTTCCAGACCATTTCCTACCTGTAAGGAAAAAAAAAAAAAGAAGATGCACTAGATCTTGTCTAAAATTATCTTCTACTTCTAAAATCTTAGGTGGTGTAGTGGATAGAATACTGGACTTGGAGTCAGGAGACTTAAATTCAAATTCTGCCTTGTATGATTGGCCAAACCATTTAATTTCTCTATGCCTCAGTTTCCTCACCAGTAAAATGATGAGGTTGGCCTTCATGGCTTCTAAGGCCACTTTCAGCTCTAAATCTATAATCCTATGGTTTTCACTTGTTAACTTTTTAACAGACATAACACTGAACTCAGACTAATTTATCCAAATATGAGCTATTAGAATAAGTGACCATGTCAATATCACAAGTAGTTATATTTGCATTCATTCAGAAAAGTTACTGCAGTTCTATTTGGAGTAACCTAAAGTTCCCACTTAAATATAATTGGCACCTCAACGAGGCTGTAAGAACTCTATGCTTATTTCATACATCACTGCACTGTACTGGCATTTGGGGATTACACTGGGTTATCTACATAAAAGCAAGAAGAAAGGGTGGGGGCTAGAGAGGAGGAAGAGCAATGGTTTTTGTGAAAGGAGTACTTTCTTTAACATACCTTGAACCTATGAACAGCAAAATACCTTTCAAAAACACAATGTGAAACACATACACTGCTATTTTCCTAGATTTAAAATTAAGTAGACAGATAATGCACAAACAGGTCTTCCTACACTAAACTACACCACTTGTTCTTCTCCAAGAGCCTCAGACCAAGTGGAGTAACCTACTCCATTTCCTTGTTTGCTTTAAGAATCGCAGAAAACATGTTAATTTTGTCCTTTCTAAGGCATATGTAATTGTTCACACTTAAAAACTTCATAATTTTAGAGGGGAAGTATATCTGTATTGTCACTATAAAAAGACCTTTTGACTAAAATTCTATGCTTACATTTCTTTTCAGATTTACAAAAAAGGGTTAATTTTTGCAGCAGTTCTCCCCACTCCACTGTCTTGTTTGCAACCTAAAATGAAAGGAAAAGGGGAAAAAAGCAAAGGGAAGAGAAGCAGAACCCAGAAGAGGGAGAATATTACCACCTACTTTGCTGGTTATGGATTATTTTGAAAGACCCAAGAGGCAAGGAAAAGAGTTGACATGCAGAAGGGGAATAGGGGTTAATGACCTCAACTGGCACCATCCAGATTAATAATGGTATTTGGGGGGAAGAGGAAATTTATTTACACTGCAGTGTCTGGGAGCAAACATGGCTGCCCCTACCCCCTTTAAATCTGAACAGTCTTCACTTCCTCACAAAACCCATCAAATTATGTCCTGGCTTCTACCCACCCTCTACCC